CTTAAGCTTAGCATATTTTGTGACCCGTTTATCGCTCTTATCTTGTTTTGCAGTCTTCCCCAAAAGCCTTCGGTTGAATTACTATGGTTTCCAGTAAGAGGATCGACGACTAATTACTAGGAAAATGTGGATAATAAAACAAATTAAAATAAATAATGCCAACTCTAAAGCTTTCCCTAACCTTAATCCTAACCCTAATTATAACCCTGGTTCTAACATTAATACCTACCGTAACTCTAATCCTAACGCCAACGAGCTATTAACACATTGTCCACACAGTACTTAAAAACGTGATCTGGGTGATATTTGCTCCTTAGTTTGTGAATAGCGTTCATATTTACGCTATAATTATTACTATTGTTTCCTTTAATTCCTAGAGGAACATAAGGCTTCAGCCTCACGTCTCCGTTGCGTTCGGTTCTCTGACAACGTTTTCACCTGGCTCCACGTCTGCCCAAATGTTTTCATTTTCTCTTCACATGATCTCCTCCATGTCACCCTCGAAGCGACGACCAACTCGCCACTTCCAGTTCGGGTTCCACTCGAGAGCCTATCGTGTGATGTAACTTGATGGTTTTCTCAGAAAATGGCTAATCTACCTCCATTTTTTCCTGCATATTTGTTGCACAATGGGTTCCTGGTTGGTTCGCTTCCAGAGATCCCTCCTTGTTGCTGATCTTTTCTGGCCAACTGATCTTGAGTACTGCGTTATAATAATAGCGCATTATTAATAATGACAGGTGTCGTTAGCCAATGACTAGCATGCGTTCAAGTTCATTGGAGCGTTCGCGCCCCTGGGACGCTAATATTTAACTTCGCCAAACCTCACAAAAAAGTGCAGCAGTTTGAGTTGCCACACTCCATACAAAGGAAGACGAAAAAGAGATTCGAAAGAACGATAATAAGCAAAAATGTGTGGGAGAAGCAGCAGTAACATGGATAAGCAATACGGACCAATGGATATGGCACATCACAAAGAGTGAATGGATCTGCGACACTGAGAAAGATTTTGAGCCATATCACCAGTTGTTCCTAGCCAATGGTTCTTAGAATTTGAAGGCAACACAACTAGGCAGGAAGCCTACACCTCACTGATATATATCAAGAAAATACACTTACAAAAGAAGATCAATTATGCCTGGAAAAGAATACAGATATCACTTGCAAAGATAGACATTATGCCTTTCTTAGAGAATGATGAATAATATTGGAGAGAGAGAAGAAAACAAGTGATGAATTAAAATCAACAATAATACCACCTGCAGAAACACTTTTTTTTCTATTCATGAATAACCATTAAAAAAAGAGAAAAAATCACAAAAACCTTATATGCAGATAAGTTAAACATCATTCAAGTGAAAAGTTGTACATGAGCTAACAATACACACAGAATAACACTTGAATGAAGTACTACTAAAGATAAACCAACGTTCATAGAAAACAAAGTTCACAAAGCTTACAGAATGATAACAATAATAAATATGGTTATTATGAATACAAATACAAATAGAAACAGGTGAACAGATCACTAGCTGCTACAGTATGAAAGAACAAAGACTTGAAAATAAGGTCACCTTATACAACATATATATACATATATATCATCTAAAACAATAATTTAATAAACATGTACAAATTGAAAACTTTTAAAAGAAGGTGGTAATACCATGAGTAATATTATAATAATAATAATTAGTTTTCTTTTAAAAACGAAACTAACAGTAACAAAAGTAATACAAAGAAGCGGTGCCAGTGGAGTTTTCATCAGATATCGATCTGACTAGTTATCAATTCCACTTTGTTATGAATAGTTCTAGACATGAAGAACAATATGCCTTTTTTGGTTGGAGGATTTCATCATGAGCTGACACAAGTTATAAAACCACCTTGGTGCAGATGCACCCACTCCTTGTGACTTATGATTTCCAATTAAACTGTTTTGTTCTCCGTTATTACTATTCCTTTGTCTCACACCTCTGTTTGCTGTCTATATTATGCATTTCTCCTACTTTCTTCTCTTCCTTTGTGTGCTATATGGAATGTGGCGACTTGAACTGCCGCACATCGGTGCAAAGTTCTGTGTCGAAAACAGACAGACAGACAGGGTTTCTAACGGTTCTGTAGCTGCTGTCAGTTCATGATGAAATCCCCCAACCAATCAAACAATATCCTTGCAAAAACCAATACTTGAAAATATGCCTTTTTTCTTTTATCAGTATACTTAGGTGTAAAAACAGTAAGGCACCAACTGCATTCTTTTTCTTCTACTACTTCTGAATATTAAAATTATAATGATGAATCCAATATGATTAATGTTGCCAGGTGTCAGGCCGTAGTATAGTGAAACCCGAATAGGAGCAGCAGGCAACGAGTCAGGGATATGCGTTCCATGATGACATGGAGAAGATAATGTGAGAAGGAGAAATGAAAGCTTATGGATAACCATGAAGTCAGCAAAAATGACTTCGAAGAAAGGGATACAATTGTGATGTGTGAGAACTTTTTCTGTATGAGTGTTTACAGCTGAAGATATCGCGTCTAAGAGGATCATGAAGACTTCGTCATTTCATTGAATATGTAATTCGGCGAATCAACTTCACAACATAAAGTAGTAGTTGATATTCAACTGATTAGAAACAGTGAACACAATGATTCATAATAAATCTGAAGCAGGACCGAAGTGTGTGTGTGTGTGTGTGCGTGTGAATGGATCTAAAGACGAAACTTTATATATCAACCAAAAAAATCTCATAACCATCCTTAACCTGTAACTCTATTTTAACAAATATGAATGGAACATTCTAAGGTAAATTTCTCCTTAAATTATAAAGCTGAAACAACTCATGGAAGGTGTATGCCTAAAAATAAATTCATTCAGCTTGAGCAGTATACATGACAATCAATAAATGTTCACATATCTTGTCGGTTAGATGTCATTTAGAAATAATAACAATAATAATAGTAGAAGTAGTAATAACCCAACACCTCTGCACAGGTTTATGTAAGAGGTTGTGTCCCAGTTAATTGCGTGAAGAATTACGACACATTCTTTTTGCTCAAAACCAAACTAGGTGGAATATGGTTTGAATCCGAAATACAACCTGGATGAATCGATGGAGCTTCTAAGACGAATATCACGGTTAAGTCATTTGTATTAATGAAAATTTATCATTGTATCATTCACTGACCGTCCATCGGTGGCACAGCGGTAGAGTGCTCGCTAACCACGCACGTGGTCCGGGGTTCTATACCCGGTCGACGCACTCCTTTACTTCGCTAAGCCAGTAGTAACACTGGTAAAAAGGGAGAGCTCGGCATGCGACTAGCAACCCCATCTTGTAAAACTAATCACCACTGCTACAAAAACTTCAAGCCTCTAGCTTGAAGCCCTATGTTCCACTGGGAACGTAAAGGAATAAAAAAATCATCCACTGACCAATCAGGGCACTCCGGTCACACACACGTAAAAAATATACTCATATTTTAACTCAGTGTTCAAAAGTTTCTGAACTATTTCAATATTTTCACTCACGATGACTATATTGTCTGTTTGGTGAGAGAAGATAAGTTTCTACGATGTCATAGGGAAAACATGTCACCCGAATAATTAAGTAGTGAAGTGAAAGTTTGTGGAATACTAATTAATGTATTTATTAAGTTTTGATAAAAAGCTTTCAGTGACTACTTAATACTCCTTTCAGAGAATTATTAAAGTCATGCGCCAACCTTAGATGTAAATGCAAATCGTCAAATATGTGCAGATGTGTATAAAACAACCGTGTAAGGAGTGACAGTTTACAGATGTGCTGGCAAAACATTAGTAGGTGTGAAAAACAGTAACGTTACAATAAATCCTGCTTTAAGTAACTAATACGTACCAATATGTTAGAGGATAACATCACAGTGTGAATATCTTATATCAACAGCATATGAACAATGATGCTATTTGGTGGACGATAACTAGCAATGGATGTGCACTTCGTCTTATTTGAGGCTCAAAAGCTGAATGAACCTCCAGTTCCCAGTGAGGTGGAACATTTAGGCCCAATCAATTAACGGTAAAAAAATTGATTTAAAGAAACGAGGACTGATACCTGTTGTACAACAGGTAGCTTTTGTGGCCCAAGTGGTCTAATGGAAACCGCTGCTTTAGCGTTTAAAACGATGAATGCTGGGTACGAGTTTCAGTGGAAACACCATCACTTTACTGGGGATTGCGGGAATATCCAAACGAGTCCCGAATAAGATTGAATGAATACTGAGAATTGCACTGCTAGGCACCATCCACCAAATATTATAATATCAATGCTCCAATATCATCGAAGCATCCGCCGTAGTAGAAGCCGTTACGTTGTTCCAATCAGTCAACGGGAAAAAGCAAAGATTGACTTAAAAAAGTAATCTTATGACCAGGTCTAAAATCACTTTTTAATTTCAAACACATTACGCCATAGCTCCATCCAACATCTGCACCAGTACAAAGCTAATTTCTTCGCTCTAATCACAAAACAACATATCCACTTCCTTAATAAATAGGATAATCAATATTGAAAGTATAAAATAATGAATATGATGAATTTGAGAATAGGAAAGCACAAACAGAACTGTCGGAATGACTTTATATATTCAACACATTCAAGATAAATGCTACCCTCAAGTGCTATTTTAAAGAAAGGAGACTGATTAAACCCCATTACCCCATGATACCTTGACAAAGGAATTCGTTCAGTGATAAACACAAACTTGCTGGTGCTTGAAAAAAAACAACTAGTTTTCACGGGTGCATAAAAGCTGAACAAAAGAATAAGATTACTGAACCAAAAAAGTCAAGTAAAGTGTTAAATAGATTACAGACGTGAATTAGTACACTAAATCCTGTGATAATTGCACACACATATAAAAACATTTAATTCAGTTAGAATGAAATAGTTAGGGCAAAGACAACTTTCAAAAGCCACTCACTAGTTAATAAAAGCGACACTTTACCCATTATTACGTACATCAGCTTTTTTATTATCATCATCCTAAATGATTTGATATGAAAATTCAAAAGGATGCTCACATATGAAAAGAATTTCTCATAGAAAGAAGAATAATTAGCACACTAAAACCAATGAAACGATGAAACAAAAGAGTGTCGGTTAAACGATTGATTTCAACTGAGCACAGAAAGCAACTATGTGAGATTTTGAGTAGTAAAGGCTCGGCACTGATTCGTCCCGATATAGGTGCTGGTACTGTTCTAATGAATCGCCAAGACTGAATAGGTCAAATGTTATCCATCATATCAGACGAAGACAAATTTTCAGAGGAAACCAACCAGAAAGACTGAACTGAGGGAATTGAAGAAAAGATAAGACAAACACTGAAGTCGATGAACGAATCGACTATTACCTCTGAATTATTTGAGCAAATATGACCTTCCGGTTATGTGGCCTCTTGGAAGTGCACTAAGAGAACACGCACCACTCACTGCGACCAATCTTGGACATGACAAATTCACCATATCATACTGTTGCCAAATGGCTTGCAGACATCCTTCTACCTATCAGAAATAATCTCTGTCATCAGTATTTCAAAATTCATCGATCGAATAAGTGATGTTAATGTATCCGGGAAGAAAATGATATCTCTGGATATAACGTCTCTCCTCACCAATGTTTCTCTGGCTAAAACTATTTGTTTAATATGCAAATTCATTGAGAATAATACTCTGGATGTGGGTATCCCGATCCACTACTTAAAGGAACTACAACTGAGATGTACTTTCAATGTCCAATTCAAGTTCACCAACACGTTGTATAGACAAGAGACGGAGTGGCAATGGTGTCGCTATTGGGTCCTTTACTTGCAGACTGCTTCATGGCAAGCCTAGAAAATAATATGTTACGATCTACTAATGGTAATTTTCATATGCACCAAAGATACGTGGATGATACTTGTATCATGTATGACAAAAATGCTAAAGTCGAAATGATAGTAAAGGAGTTAAACAACTGCTATCATTCTGTCCAGTTCACGTAGGAACCAAAGGTGAACTCGGAATTCTATTTTTTGTGATGTTTTGTTAAAAAGAGGATCTGACAGCTCTCTTCAGAGATCACTCTACAGGAAACTAATATGGAATAGTCAGTACACGAATTTTCATAGTCGGGTCCCTTTGAGAAGAAAAAGAAATCTGATCCATTCCTCGCCTTCAGGAATAAGAAGGATATGCACCAGCGATACAATCGATGGTGAACTGGAGAGACTCAGACAAGTACTCATAAAAAATGGACATCCTTCGAGATTCATCAATAAAAAACATGGAAGTAAAGCGAAAGCCCGAAACAATCTAAACGGTGTCAAATAAACTGCTGCTTTATGAATGCTGAATTTAAAGGTGATACCGCAGCTGAGATTCTGAAGAACCACTTATCCAGATCACTGAGAAAGGCCTTCTTTTTGGCTGAACTACAGATCAGTTTCTATGGTCGACAAATGATCAACAGAGTGTGAAGGATAAACTGCCACTTCAATGTGCGTTTATAAATTCACTTGTTCTTGTGGAGCTAGTTACATTAGCTGCACAAAGCGCACACTTTCCAAACGCATCTCTGAACATTATCCGGCATGGTTAGCGTGAGAACAGTGCAAAACAATTAGTAGCTCAATCCTCAAGCACTTGGTAAACTCAGGTGATGCAACTTTATTAGAGTTATCTTTTAAGATTATCTACAATACAACCCCGAACTCTGTTTACAAAAAAGCTTGTCCAGTCTGTTTTTCTACCACGGCCTTAATCTCTTCATTAATCGTTCCCTGTAATTTTTTGTTTTGTAATAATTAATTTGCTTTTATCTTTAGTAATTAATTCACTATTATCACTCTCACGTGTTCCTTCGGTAAATTTTCTCACCCTCTTCACACTTGTTAAATGGATAGTCAACTACCTTTCGTCTCACTTAATAATAATTTTAACCTTATCAAATTCCTAGCCTTTCTTTGTGCCGTTGAGTATTACATAATTTATAACTTTTATATTTACTTTTGAAGCCTCTTCTGAGTAACTACAGCAATTATGCCACCCACCTATTACTCATTAATGAACCACTATACGTTTTTGGTAAATATAAATACAATTGTACAGCCTCTGAAGATGATCTGGTCCATAAAGAAAATTTTCTTCTGTGAAGTGTCTTTTATCTTATCCATGACTATATATATATATATATGCTTCGGGATGTATAGCGAAAAGAACACGGAATGCATAACGAATGTCGATCACTATACCTCATTGAAAAAGGTGGTACCACTTGGTCACCGAAAATAATTGGACGAAAATTGACTCTCTGGCATGGTAGTCAGGCTTACATATCTCAAGGACCTGACGAGCTGGACGACTGGGGTGAATGTCCTGAAAGTCTGGACAGGCCAGAAAAGTTGGTTGAATGGAGATTATACCTAAAGCTGTTGCCACCATAATGCAAGCTGGTCGCTGTAAGATGGGGACCAGGGAGAGTCATACTGTCAGTGCAGAGGGATGAACAGCAGTGAAGTGTTCTCCTCGGACAACCAGTAAACTGTCAATGTTATCTTCTCACTTTGGTGAGTTAAAAAAGTTCAGCTTCAAAATTCGTACCCCTCAACTTAATCTATATCGGTCCTCAGCTGTTGGTAAGGTATTATATACGAAACTCTCTGAATAGACTGTATATGACACATTCAAACTGTTCAAGATGGAAGGCTACAGAGAGATTAGTAATTCCACTCTAAATATAACATTCAGTGGTATCAGATAATAGATGCTTTAGTTCATTATCCCGTGCTAAGTGAGTCAATATTGTCAAAAAAAAGTTAGATTAGAAGTAGAGTATAAGATAAGGTGGCTGAGTAGGTTAGTCGATGGGGTAGTCAAGTTCCATCGCTGTAGGTATAATATACAAGCCAAGCCACCGCCTCCATTTACAAAGGATGTTAAATGAAATAAAATAAAGTCGGTAAAGTTTAAGGTATAATCAAACCTTGTCTGTTAGACTGAGCCATATACAGAGGAGTATACTGTCTGGTTAGGATTCTCAAATTGTTAAAAATCACTGGACTGTCAGTAGCATGACTCAAAATTTGTCTAGATAACGCAGTTGTATTCACACCTGTATTTACCAGAATGTAAAAAAAATTGCACTAATTTTTATTTAATTATTCTTTGTCGTATACATTTCCGTCCATTCTAGTTTCAACGCATCTCTTTCTTGAATCGTATAAATGTGCCTTCCATAATTCTGTATCAACTTGAACTGATGCACTTTTATGCCATTTTATGTTGGTAAACCAGTAGATTATTACTGTTGTTTGACCTCTGCTTGTTTACAGTATTAAATTTACAGTAAATAACATCATTGTATGTAAATAAATGTTAAAATAAAGAGCTTTCATCCAGGCGATAATCTCCATAGTGCTGTTTAGCAGTGCATAAAACAATATTTTGTATTGTAAATTTCACAATGTCACTCATCAAAGCAACAACATTGAGATTAAGATCCGTAAGCAGAATACTGAAGTTGTTGGGATACATACAGTGTTATTGATTTATTAACTTTCAAATAGTTGCATACTACTGCAAAAGTGAGGCGTTGGACTTATTGAGACAAGATGTAAACAACCAACCACACACACACACATCTGGAAAATAATCGATGGATAGATGAATAAAAAGTTATATACATAAACTAAAAATTGAAATCTGCTTTACCTGTATATCATACTTTCGCGGTACTGGACTACGATGGGATGAAGTAAATCTAGGCGGTGCTGAATTCGCCGTCATGTTAAGCATACGACGATCAACATCATCTGCTGACGATGAACGCTGCTGTCTTATATCTCTTCTTCTTGCTATGTATGGAATTGATTTCCTAGATGGTTGGTTGTCCAAATGTTTAACCGGTAAGGGAAATGGATTTTGTTCATCGTGCATTGAATTACGCGATAGGATACTGGATGGAGTGAATACACTTTGTTGGTTGCCAAACGCTTTGAGGTTATGAATCGATGGAGTAAGCAGTAACCTGTATATAGCGGATTGATTACTGGTTGATATAGCGTGTCTTTCAATCCAACCCTGGAAAGGAAAGGAATCAATTAACCAATTCATAACAATATGTGTGTGACGGGAACAGACAAAAAAAAGATAGAAAACTAAGCAAGTGAAAACACAGAAAAGAAGTCACGAGTTAACAGGTTTAATGATGACTGACTGACCGGTTTCAGTGTATAAAACTTTGCATAGAAGTGCAACACTTCGAGTTATCACACTCCATGTGTACCACACAAAGAAAGAAAAAAGATATTCGAAAGAACGATAATATGAGGGAGAAAGAATAGTGACATAGTAAAACAATGGGGATTAATGGATGTGGTAGATCACAGAGAGAGTGAGTGAATCTGAGCCATCGAGAACGATGGCCCAACCATGAAGCCTGCACCTCCCAACATGGCTAACTCAAGGATTTCATGGACTGATGAAGCCATGTTTTGGTTTGATCACTCTTTTACATCCTGATCCAATATCAACCAACATTGCTCATCGAGGAGTGCAATGGCTAGGCATGCGCAACACATGTCCTAGTCTCCTCAAACGATTCCTCTTCACTACTTCATTGTTTGACTTGCCCTCCTTACCTAACACTACACCTAACCTCAATATTACTCACCCGAACATGGGAGATAGAAAGCAAACACCTATGATCAAAGACAGCTAGCTAGCCTTTTCGTATCTTCCACTTTTAGTGGCCATGTCTCACAATCATAAAGAATGACAGGGTGGACTACTGCGCAGTACACATGTCATTTGATTGATAGCTGGATATCAAGTCTATACCAGAGATGGTGTAAGTTGGCAAATGCTAGATTTAGTGACAAATGTAATCAAACATACCCTACTGAATGATACTCCTGCGTAATTTAGTATCAGTTACAAATATTACCGTTTGTAAATATCACTACTACTTATTTACACTGTAAAGATATATCACCTATGAACTGGTATATGGCGCTATACAATACTTTCAAAGTGATTTTGATGACTAAAATACAATACGCTGTGAAGTGGTTAGTTCTTCAACTCACACACACACAAACACACACACACAGTGGGGGATACGGTTTGTACAGTTTCATTTGTCTGTGGAAATTCTGTTATGCATTGAAAATGTTAATCAATGAGACAGCATTTATTCTGTCAATGGAACATTAGTAAATACGGATTCTACACGCAGACATAATAAATATTTATTCGAAGTATTAACATTCTGTATAGAATCGACAAATAAAAAGGAATCACGAAGGGAAGAATTAAATAATTGTCTCCTGATTGGTTTCAAGGATTTCAACTGGTCAATTAGCTATCGGATGGTAAGGGGATCCAGACATATTTAGATTAGGGTGGAGTGGTAGGTCAGTTTTCTGTATCTTTAACAGATCATAAAGTCTTTGACAATCTACTCAACTAAAACAATGGATCTTATACCGTCGTTTAACCAGGGCTTCCAATGCTTCAAATCTACCATCAATGATTCTTGCAATCATAACCTCAACAAAAAACCAAAGGTGTATTGTCTCCTAACAAGACAGCACAAAGAACAGCTTAAAGAGTTGAAATACAATAAAGGTGTATTATTAACACGCTCTGACAAGAATGCAGGTGTGGTTATACCAGATAGCAACAAATTCCCTAAACCTTCTAGTGGAAAAGCAGGACATGATTAATTTACATCAACCTATGCAAGTCAAAAAGAAGGGGGAATAATAACCTGATTGGTGAGGTACTTTATGAAAGGATTAGATCAACACGATCTTCAATACGAAGGCTTTATAGTCTACTGAAGATACATAAAATTGGCCTGCCACTCCGCCCTATTCTGGATCCCCTTACCATTCAACAGCTAAGTGACTAGTTGAAATCCTTGAACCCGTCAGGAAACAATTATCGCATTCTGACCAATATTAATTTCGCTCTATGAGTTCGTCTTGTATATACAACTGAAGCCATCGGAATCCACCTGAAGGAGTCAAACCTGCATGTTCAGAAAAAATTCGTGCAGTTACTTTTCTCACCTTGGCCACCAATACATAAATGTAGAAAAATTGACAATCTCCCCTAAACCATTTACAAACTACCATTGTACTATTTTATTATTCTGACTTTTTTATTCCTTTACGTTCCCAGTGGAACATAGGGCTTCAAACTAGAGGCTTGAAGTTTCTGTAGCAGTGGTGATTATTTTTACAGGATGGGGTTGCTAGCCTCATGCCCAACCAACCTTCTCTCTTTACCAGTGTTACTACTGGCTTAGCGAGGTAAAGGAGTGTATTGGCCGGGGATTGAACCCCGGACCACCTGGGTGGTCGGCGAGCACTCTACCGCTGTGCCACCGACTAGTTCATCTTTAAATTGTTTTCTGCATAAACTATTCGGACACTCATTTATCTCTTAAGTGCTTATCTTATTTTTACAAAATTATGCATTGTGTAATCCATTTGTTTAACCTCGCCTAGATTACTAGGTCACTAGTATTCTAGCCGGTCACAAGCCCGGATAAAGAGGGAGGGTTGGGGCGTGGTGCTAGCAACTCCACCCCCAAAACTTAACCAAATTGCTACGAAAACTTCAACGCACAAATATATTAAAAATTCTAAAAATACAAACAATAACCTTATTTTTCGCTGGAATCGGGGAAGTGAAATGACGCGGGCTGGTGAAAGCCTTCGGGAAGCCAGTCAGCCGATGTGCCTTCTTTCGATGAAAGCGAAAATAAGGATGGGGACGTGGAATGTTCGTACAATGTACGAAGCTGGGAAGGCTGCTCAGGTAGCCGCAGAAATGAGGAGATATACAATAGAAGTGTTGGGAATCTGCGAGAGCAGATGGAACGGATGTGGAAGGAGCCAACTATCAACTGGAGAGACAATAATCTACTCCGGTCACCCAGAGGACAATCACGAGCACACCGAGGTAGTAGCCATCATGATGTCACTAACAGCGGCTAAAGCTCTCATGCAGTGGGAACCAATCTCCTCCAGGATAATGACAGCCAGGTTCAACTCAAAAGGAAAAATGGTTACAATCATTCAGTGCTACGCGCCTACAAACGCCTCAGAACATGAGAAGAAGGAGGATTTCTACAGTCAACTACAAACAGTAATGGACAACGTCCCAAAGAGCGATATCAAAATCCTGATGGGCGACATGAATGCGAAACTGGGAGGAGACAATACAGGAAGAGAACTCACCATGGGTCGTGAGGCCCTCGGTGAAATGAACGAAAATGGTGAACTCTTCTCAGACTTCTGCGCCTTCAATGATTTGGTGATTGGTGGCAGTGTGTTCAAACACAGGGATATACACAAGGCAACATGGATTTCACCAGATGGACACACCAAAAACCAGATAGACTTCATTTCAATCTCAAGGAAGTGGAGACGGAGCCTACTGGACACAAGATCGAGGAGAGGAGCAGATGTGGGTTCAGACCACTATCTAGTACAAGGGACTTTCAAGGTGAAACTGAAAGCCTCGAGGATAGCTGGGGATAGGCCACAATGCAAGTTCAACACTCACAAACTGAAGGACACAATCACACAGGACATTTTCACTGCAACTGTCAGAGCAAAGCAAGAAACACTACGTGGCATCACTGAGGAATCATGCGTGGAAGACCATTGGAACTCTCTGAAGGTAATTTTCAACGAAACGTGCTCAACGGTTTTAGGAAGAAAGAAGAAACAAGACAAGGAATGGCTCTCAACAGACACTTGGAAACTAATAGAGGAGAGGAGAAAGGTGAAAGAAAAAATTATTCAATGCAAAGATGGACAAGAGAAAGAGACGCTGAGCTCAACTTACACAGCACTGGACAAAGAAGTGAAGAAGAGTGCCAGGAAGGACAAAAGACAGTTCTACGACAACCTGGCTACTGAAGCTGAGAAGGCAGCAGGCAAAAGGGACCTGAGGACACTATATCAGATAACCAAGTCTCTATCCGGGAAGAGATCAACACAAGTGAAACCTATAAAAGACAGCCAAGGGAACCCAATTACCAAAGAAGAAAGACAGATTAAACAATGGGCGGACCACTTCAAAGGACTCTTGAACCGACCACCACCTACAACCCGTCCAGAAATACCAACAACAGCACGTACACAACTGCAAGTTGACACCAATCCTCCAACGAAAACTGAAGTCATGAATGCAATCAAGCTTCTTAAAGCTGGAAAGGCAGCTGGACCAGATGGAATACCCCCGGAAGCACTGAAAGCGGACCCAGAAACGACGGCAGATATGCTGACTCCATTATTGCAAAAGATCTGGAAAGAGGGAAAGGTGCCTACTGACTGGAGGAAAGGTTACCTGGTGAAACTACCAAAGAAGGGCGACCTAGGACTCTGCAAGAACTGGCGAGGAATCATGCTCCTGTCGACGCCAAGTAAAATCCTGAGTCGCATCATCCTGGAGAGAATGAAGGAGGCGCTGGATACAGAACTCCGACCAGAACAAGCTGGATTCAGGAAAGGCAAATCATGTTCTGACCAAATTGCAACTCTACGCATTATCATCGAACAAAGCATGGAATGGCAATCAAATCTCTACCTCAACTTCATAGACTTTGAGAAGGCCTTCGACAGCGTTGACCGCGAAGTAATTTGGAAACTACTCGAGTACTACGGCGTACCCCAAATATTCATCAACCTTATTCAACAACTGTACGACAACGGCACATGTCAAGTGATCCACAACGGAAAACTCAGCGAAGCGTTTGGAGTAAACACAGGAGTCAGACAAGGGTGCTTGTTATCACCAATGATATTCCTAATTGTGGTGGACTGGATTATGCGTCAGACAGTGGGAAACGAGAAGACAGGGATATCCTGGACCGACGTGAAGAACCTAGAAGACCTGGATTTCGCGCGTGAATGATTTATGTTTGATGTCACACAAAATCGAAGACTTACAAGCGAAAACCGACAAACTGGTCGAAGAGGCTGGCAGCAAAGACAGGACTCCAGGTGAACATAGACAAGACGGAGGTTATGAAAATAACCAACCAACAACAACAACAACAGCAACATCCGCCGCCAATCACCATCAACGGGAGGGATTTGAAAGAGGTTACTTCTTTCACTTATCTGGGGAGCATTGTCTCAACCACAGGAGGAACGGACGAGGATGTCAAAGCGAGAATCGGGAAGGCGAGAAACACATTCATCAACCTGAAACCAATCTGGAAATCTTCATCACTCAGCCTCCATCAACAACAAAATTCGGATTTTCAATACAAACGTGAAGTCAATTTTGCTTTACGGATCAGAAACTTGGCGGATCACCAAGAATATTTTCAACAGGTGGCAGACCTTTATCAACAACTGTCTTCACTCCATACTGAAGATTAGATGGCCAGAAAGAATCACAAACAAGAAGCTATGGGAACAAACGAAACAGGAACCAATCGCCCAACAAATATGCAGGAGGAAGTGGAGATGGATTGGACACTCGCTGAGGAGGCCATTGGGTGACATCGCGCGTCAGACCATCACTCGAGTGGAACCCGAAAGGGAATTGGCGAGTGGGACGTCCAAGGGTGACATGGAGGAGATCGTGTGAGGAGGAGATGAAACAGTATGGAATAACATGGACGCAAGTGAAAAGTACAGCACAAGACAGAAGCAAGTGGAGACGTGCAGTTGAAGCCCTATGTTCCACTAGGAACCCAAGGGAACAATAATAATAATAATCCATTTGTTTAACTTTGGCAATTATTTCCACCCTTTAGATTTTGAATTAATTTTCACCCCCTTGATATTTTAATACCTGACTAATTATTGTTAACAAACTTACCATTACTCAATTGGTAAATTTCTAAATTGCATTAAAATTTCTATGTACATATTAGAGTAGAGCCATAGATGAGGATAAAAAGTCAAAAAAGTGAATATTTCTTCGCTTTGCTATATCATCATCAAATGACACTTATCATAACAAATATAGGCTAAAAAACTTACTTGTAAAATTTGTCTAACATCAGCAAACGAAGCATTTTCAGAACAGCTTATATTTTTATTTGGACCACAATTATTGGTAGAATGTTTAACTGAAGCTGTTTCAGACGTTAAAACTTTATTATTTGATGAATTTTTGATTAACCCGCCTTGGTCTGTTAAAATATCCTCCTGTGTTGACTGGATATTGATTGAAAGATGTTTTCCACTTACTGAACGCTGTATTGATGATGCCCATGCATTTGTATTCGCAAAGGCTAAATTTCCAAATTAAAAATTATTTTACACTGACTTTCAGAACAATAAACAGAGACAACTAGGGTAAAGCCAATTTAAATTATCATTATCATTAGCTTATTCCAATACACTTCAAAGTTTTAACAGTTTTATATCAATCGTTACTTGGTCGATTATATCATAAAGATATCATCTACATCAACTGGTCAGTATACTCATTTTTTTCAGCTTCATACCCTTGAAATACAAATGCAATCTAATAAAGTGCATGGTCTACAGAGCAAGAGCAATCTGCTCTGATGAATGTCTTAATGAAGAGCTTAATGTTATTGAACAGTTGCTGGATGAGAACAGTTACCCAGAAAAATTCATCGATAAGAAAATGAATCAAAAATCAAAGCAAACTAAAATACCAACAATTCCGAAAAAGGCCTTATTCTTACAACTTCGGCTCCTTGGGGATAACATCAGTGAGATCTTAACACAACGCCTTAGCAATGTAGCGAAAAGGGCATTCAATGCTGCTGAATTATGCTGTGTCTTCAAAATTACCCCTATTTTGTGTTCGGGAATTTAAAAATCAACCGCCTAATTTCGCCTCTTCTACGTGTATCTACCAATTTGACTGCTCCTGTGTAGCCAGTTACATAGGCCGTACAATTAGGCGTGTTTATCGTCGGATTTCCGAACATCATCCTGCTTGGTGGTTAAGTAAAGGACAAACAAAATCCATTCATAGCTCTATTCTACCTCATCTTGTGAATACAGAACACAACATTGATGTTAACGAAGCTTTCAAAGTCATCTACTGCATACCAACTAATCTTAACTTTACCCTAAGAGTTCGTCTACTGCATACTGCTGAGGCCGTTGGGATCCATATTAAGAAACCTAACTTATGTCTCAAAAAGAAGCTGGTTGAGACACTATCCTTACCTAGGCTATCAAGGTTTTATTGGTCCTCAATTTGTTGTGAAAATTTCCTTAATTTTATTTGATATTCTATTCGCTGTTACATTTTTGTGCTTATTATTATTCGTCAACTGCAATTTCATTGGTCTTACTTAACAAATCGATATTATTCAAAAAACACCAATATTGTTAATGACGACCATTATAGGGTATTTTATGTATTTAAACATATATATAATTGTAGAGCTAGAAGAGGAAATTATCAAAAGGGATATCATTCTTTGCTCAATTTTTTTCTAAATGTCTGAATGAATATTTTCGTTATACAAAGATTTCGGTAGATAAATTACAGCTTTAAATAAAGCTAATAGTATATATCTTGGTAAATGAACTTTCATATTAATTTGTTTATCAGATATATCACATAATGAGACAGTATTATTTACTGTACAATGTTTCAAACACAAATTGTTATTATTATTCATTATCATACGAAATATAACTACACAACTTAGAAACCCAGTTTGTTGTAAGGTTGATAGAATTTTCCAAATGGCATGAATTATTCTTATTGCGTCTGTTCTCGATTGACTCAACAAATAAAGCTTCCAGTCATGAATGCTGTAGTTGTGTGGTTACAACTGAGATTAATATAAACAGTAAACTGTATTCGAAACGTCACCTAGTAAACAACAACATAGTTTCACGTCATTTTGGTTGACCGTGACTAGTAGTGGAATCCAGGATGCGGATTTCTTCCTTCTTGGGGACCCGGCAGACGGATGCTTTGGAAATGAGTTAGGATCTCACGTTTCAGAATTTCAAGTAGGAATTATTGACAAAGGATGGTTCGTCACTTAGTGCACAAAAAGTTATACTGACTGGACAGATTAACTGCATCAACCCACTACCTATTACATGTATATTCGAACCAAACCCTATAGTATTGGAATCTACTCCAATGAAAGAGCAGAGTTCCAAAATTAAAAGTACAAAATAAACAACACCCCAACAGCGTTACCACAGTGTAAATAATTTAATTTTCGTTAATTGTCTACATCACCAACTAAAATCAAATTTCATCTATCTTAAAAACAGGAATAGTCAGTCGATCAGCTTGATGTTCCCAGCCACTACATGCAAACCGTCTCAAAATTAATTTCAACAAGAAAGACATTAAGACTTTGAAACTTTGAATAAGTCTATATACTTTCCTACCTTCAAACTAATGGAACATTTCTTAAAGTTAAAAGGTTGCAACGTAAAGGCTATAATAAAAGTTCAACAGATCATTCAACAAACGGTCAAGTTATATATCAATTACCTGACTTTGTGACAAACTTTAACTAAAATTTTAGAGAATATAGAGCAAAAAATCTTAAATCCTTTCTAAGCTGATATTTTCTTAAAATATACAAAGTCACATTTCTATTAGCCGAATAAATTAAACATTTAAGGGACACCCACTGACTGACTGACTGATTGATTGAATTGTTAACATTGAACTGTGCACAAAAGTGTAGAAGCGCAAGTTGTCGCACTTCATTCAAAAGAGTTATAATGAATGGGAATGTATGGGGGATAGAATAGTACCTAAAAAAACAATGAGAACTTGATGCGTCTAGGACTTTACATAGAGTTAATGCATCTGCGACATTGACGATGAATTTGAACTGTCCCCACCAATCTTAAAGACACCGACGGTTCTTAATGAAATGAGTCAAACAAACGCAAGCGAAAAATGTTTCACTTCAATCCTATAGGTTGGTGAATATTTCAAATGATATGCATATATATATATATATAAACAACAAGCATTGACATTCAATTTCTACAAAATCAATAAAAATTACCGAATTTCTGAGAGATGATTTGGTCACTGCTAGGAAACATACCAATAGACGATAATGACGGTAGAATATTATAGCCAATATTTGAATCGGAGAAAGAAAAGATATTTAATGTAAAGAGGCCAAATATAGCCAAGAGACTTGTAGTTGCGATTACTTTTGAACGATGAGTGATTGATGGTGTAAATCTATTATTAGAAGTAATCAAAGTCCTAGTAATCGAAGACCGCGGGACTGGCGATTGTTGTGATGACAATTGAGAATGTGATTCAACATCAATTTTATTTGAAAGAAATATCCTTTTAGGCGAAGTACTCCATTTAAGTGTTTTCACTGGATTGACAGTAGTAGAAACAGCTGAAATAAATATTTAGAAAATAGAAAACATTATGTATGGAATTTAATCATTAGATAGCATACATTTTGATAAATTGCTCCTCAATATACATGAGCATAAAAATATGACACAACTTAAGATACTACTGTTATACTCATTAGACTCGTAATGGGAATTTTTTCAAGTCATGTTATAAAATCTGTCTTTAATTGTTCTGTAGACGGTTGGGGTTGTGTTAGCCTAATAGGTTACGCATTTCAGTTAGGGGATTTATTATTGCGAAAAGTTGATCAGGATAACAAGTGTACTTCGCGCCACATCACTTTGAAAATATGCAACCAAAGGACAGAAAACATGTAACTTTAGAGTGGTATATTATCGGATATTAAAATACAGTCACTTTTCATCTAACACAGGCGGAAAAGTAGAAAAACCTTAATTGTAGTCTAGGGGTAAATAAAAGAGGATACAAAACTTATGAGTAGTATAAGAAGCTAATGAGATACTTTCGTCAGAATTTTTACAGAAACGCAAGACACTTTGTCATTAAAATGTTACCGATGACGAAATCTAACGCACTTGACGACCCAATAAAACTATCTATAAGGGAGAAGTCCGACCAAACAGTTTCTTGGATATATGACATACTGATTTTTTTTACTTTCAAGAATCATATATGAGGTTAAGGTAGAATCAGTTATCTTATCTAAGTTATGAGATTTAGATTGATTTCATTACAGGATTTCATCATGAGTTGACATTGGTTAGAGAACTATTGGAAAATCTGCGAGTACTGGGCAGTTGTTTCGTCCTAATTTGGGACTCTTCATCAGTAAGCACCCACCGGGGTTCGAACCCAGGACCTTCTGGTTACAAAGTCCCAAACTAGGACGAAACAGCTGTCCAGTACTCCCAGGTTTTCCAATGGTTCTCTAACCAATGTCAGCTCATGATGAAATCCTGTAACCAATCAACCAAATTCCTACAAACCAATACTTGAATATCAATGAGATGCTCACTGGCGACTGGCCCCATTCAGGTAGGTAGTTACCTGGGGTTCTAGTGGGAAGTCGTGACCAGTAGGGTGCAGCAGGTCGGGTGTGAGGACAAATACTCGCCAAAGACATTGGCTAGTGGTTGCGCTATATTGTGAATTGGCAGAAGTTAGAATTCATGGGCCATTGGATCGGGTCCCAGTGCCTTAGTGGTCTACGAGCTGGCCTTGTAACCAGAAGGCCCTGGGTTCGAACCCGTACGGTGGGCGCGTATGGGGTACTGAAGAGTCCCAAACTAGGACGAAACAGCTGTCCAGTACTCCCAGGTTTTCCAATGGTTCTCTAACCGATATCAGCTCATGACGAAATCCTGTAACCAATCAACCAAATCCCTACAAACCAATATTAGATTGATTTCAGTAGTTAGATTTCGTCACGAACCAACACTAGGGAACACCGGACAGCTCTTTCATCCTATTTTGGGACTATTCAGTGGTGCGCACCCACAATCCCCCCAGGAGTCGAACTTGGGATCTTCGGGTTACGAGATCAAGCTTACTGACCATTCAGCCATTTGGGCTGGTGTTCATTGACCCGTGAATTCTAACTTTGTCAGTTGGTCATATAGCTCCACACTCAACCGATGCCCTCGATGAGTGTCCACTTCACCTTGACATGGGAGACCCCAAAGGCCATAACTTTTCGCTACAGCTATCCAGTAGACATTACTGAGGTGGACATTGATATTTAGATTATGGAATTTGTTGAGAATTGAATTAATTTCAATTTTGCTCCTTGCATTTCAGTGACCTCTCTAACTGATATTGACTGGTGGTGAAGAAATCTAACAGTTGTAGGTAATTCTATCGCCTGTACCAGCCTAAAGACATCTTTATTATTAAATTGCTCCTGAGCTTTATATTCTTATAACAAAAGAGCTATAGTTACACACGTATTTTTAAACATATATCATTTCTTTAGTTTGTGTAAACGATAAACAACCTATAAAAAATGTAAATAAAACTTACTAATCTGAGGATTCATATTTTTATCTTGGGTATCTTTCCAATTTCGAATTGAAACTGTCTTACTTCTACCCGATTCATTGAAACTGGAAGGACGAATGAGCGAAGAGGCAGTGGACTTAAACCCAACTGCTGTTTCACTCTTTGGAATCAACCTATGCACTGATACAGGATTCACATAAGTAGTATTAGTGATTGCATTACTGGATTGTAAAGAACTAGGGATGCCAGTTGTACTTGACTCGACTGGTTCACGCTTAATATTCACTTCTTCTGAACTGGTAGAATTCGGAAACTGTGACTGAAGATCTTCAATACAACGTTCCAAGTGGGAACATCGTAAACGCCATTCTTCGTTTTGACGCCATAGAGCAAGATTTTCACGTTTTAACTGTTCGAACTTCATTTCTAGCCGTTCTAAGTACTAAAGAGAGAAAAGTCGATAAATAAATATGAGGCATGCATGATTTACGAGGAATGTTGGTTCCTAAAACCAGTATGTGTAATCATTATCATGATTTTACTAGAAAACGGAAAAACCCTAAACAAATTAATCACCTCCGTTTAAGGTATTTTTACTTCCCATCGATTGAATTTTATTGGACCGAAATCCCCGATTTCTGCCGACATGTCGGCTCCCAGTAGATAGTTGGAGGCAATCGGCAGGAAGCCTTGCTCGACCTAGGTTTCGTGCTAGTTGGCACTCACCAGTCAGCAAGGTGTATCTGCAAACTTGAGGGAACTCATGTCCCACCCCTCTGAGATTCAAACCCGCGTTACCCAGTGCTGCAGTCAGAGACGTCGGCTCTTAGTATGGATGTTTCTTTAACGACTAAAGGTTAACACGATGCTAACCTTCTAAAATGATTTGTGTATAAATACAAAAATTTTATTTCAAGAGTAACACAGGTTCACTACAAAGAACAGTAAATCAATATGCGAGAATTGGAGAATTGGCAGATCGCCGTCTTTCGGAAGAATAGATTTACAAATGCTGAGGTAACATTGAAGTATGTTGTGACTTTATCTAGTGCCTGCAACCACTGAATCCTTTCTTCACTTTTATAAACATCCCTTCAGTAGTGAAGATATATCCCTAATCTGGCAGAAAACTTACACATTCTTCAAATTAATCATTGTCAAAATCCTACCAGGTAACAGCATATCCAATGCTTGATATGCTAATATTTGAGATACATACATTTTAACCGCCAATAAAAGTGTAAACTCAGCTAAGGGTTGTACAGGTTTATCAAAGAATGTTAGATACATTTACAGCTGTGTACTAAAAAGAAAACAACCTGTCACGTGAAAACAGAGAAAAATGCAGCCACTGCCTAGAATTTATGTGTCCAAAGTGATAACTAATATCACTAAAGACTGTTAAAGCTGAACTATAAAGATGTGCTTTACTAGCACCTACATTTTATTAGCACGATTGTTTTTAGTCGGCCTACAACCAGAGAATTGTCTTTAAATGCATTTGACTGACTGAGTTTCAACACAGAACTTTGCACAGAAGTACAAAAGTTCAAGTTTTCATATTCGATATGCCACACTAAGTTGAACGAGGAAATTCAAAGTAATGATAATGAATGGAGATGTACACAGGAAAGAATAACTAAATGTAAAATAATGAGGATTTAATAGATCTAGGCGTTAATAAAGAGCGAATGTGTCTGCTCTATTGAGAAGAGTTTCGGAGCCCTATCACCAATAACCTACAGCCATTGGTTCTTAGCATTTTGAGGACCCCAACCAGGTGACCTATACCTCCTTACATGGCTACCGCAAACCAGCTGTCAAAGAATTCATGAATTTATGGCAGGTTTTAATTTGACTACCTGCCATTCTTTCCCAACCTAAACTTGTCATTTAACACTAAACAACAAGGAAGGCAGTGGCTCCGTATACGCAACATGTGTTCTAGTCGTCTCAATCAACTCACCTTCAGGACCTTATCGGCTGACTTGTCCTCCTTACCTAGCACTCCAAACGTGACCTCAGTAATACTCACTATATATCACTTAACAGAGGAGATAGAATGCAAACATCTGTAGTCAAAAACACCAACTCTTTACATATCTTTCAATTTCAATGGTCATATCTTACAGTTATAAAGAAGGGTGAAGCGAACACGTTCTTTGACCGATAGTCGGGTGTAACACCAAAGATGACAAGTTTGCAAAACACAAACCAGAAATTTGGTATCCGTGCTGAGATTTCATCACCAATCAATAAAGTTCTGGCTGATACAACCTACCAAATAAGTGAAGTAGTTAACACACCCAACCACTTTACTTCTTATCTTCAAACTAGGAGTTAATGCAGACCAGTCACAAGCATCATCTTGCATTTGAGAGAAGCGAATCGCATATCAGACACATTAAAACTGTCTGATTAGAGTGTTCAGAAGACTCCGCATTTTGTCAGCGACTTCACCTAGAAGGACAATATCATGCACATACATTAAGTTCACGAGAGTGTCCCCTGGCAACAAGTCAATTCTCGAGTCACTTAAACCGATTACGGTGGCACAGCAGTTAGGACTCTCGCCGACCATGTACATGGTTCGAGGTTCGATCCCCCGCCGACGCACACCTGATATCTATGGTCGGCCTGTTAAATTTGGGCTACCGACATCACATTCTGAAAATTTCATACTTGTACCAAAATACTGTGTGGAATCAAGCTATAATAAAAAAAATTTTTTTAATATCCATTGGCTGGCTGGCTCTCACGGGCATTTTTTTTCTCCAGAAAGCGCTTAAGCTTCGCTTTATGACTGAACCCAAAACTTTAGATACGATATTAGTCAAGCTAATCGTCACAATGATTATCACACGAAGAATTGCTTCCCACCTTACAAACTGAGATGATCAATGATTTACACCAGTTTAACACGACTATCTTTGATTCCCAGACACAACCCAAACAACAGCTCGCCACCACTGTCCTCGAACACCTCTGCAGACAGTCCATCATGTCCCGATGCTTTGCCTCGTTTCAGATTACATATAACCTTTGCATCCTCAGTTACAGTTGGAGGACTGATGTCAATAACCCATTCAGGTGACTGCTGAGAAAAATGAACGTGGTAGTAGACCAGTTAAATTCCTCTTCAGAGCTTTACCTCCAACACCCCAGTTTTCTATCCTGAGAGGCTGTTTTTCCCGGAGATTGTTTCACTTGAATCGATTTAGGTAGATGAGATAAAAAAAATCTGATGTTACTTATCTGCATTGCTTTGCACGCACGTCATAGGCTTTATATTAATACAGTAATGGTTGATAGAATAGATAAGAATTTCGATAGATCGAAATTTATCAAGGGAACCAAAATGTATGAGATAAGAATTTATGATTCGCAACAATACACAGAGAATAAATGAACAGAGAAGATATGGAAACAGAAATATGAGTAGATAGATGAGAATTGTGAAGTAAAAAGAAGTACAATATTTTAAGGAAAACAAATTGTTACATCTACGACAAAGCGATTAATTTATAGAAACATCATTCGCATATTCGAAAAAGCGACAATCAACTACTCGGCAGCACCAATTTAGAAACCTATAGCTGTGTAGACGCTCACATGACTAAACCATGACTTTCTATGTCGTCTTTGTTTTTATCTTACTTTATTTTAGCCAATCTGAATCTAGCTAATTTCATACGTTATGCATGCTGGTTGCATTGCTACGTGATCTAGAACTCGGAAATCAGAATAAACTAAGGCACTAACCTAAAAGGTTTAGTCAAGATTTTATCTAACCTCTCAAAATTCGGAAGAAAATTGAACATCTATTGATCGTCACTTTTTACTTTTGATAAGTCACTACACGTAGATAGTTTAACCGATGCACACCTAACTTTTGAGTCTGACACTTTGAAAAGTATTATCACCGGATCCTATAACTGAGAAAAAATGTCAATACTACTTCGGTAATCTTGGAACTTCGAACTCTTTTAGAATGATTAAAGTAGATATAAACTTACTCAAATAAAATTTAAGGTTATTTAACGAAAATATATTGTTTCTATAACCCAAAGTGGTACAAGACAGACTAGGATCATCGATTCTACTCACGTGATGCAGTTCCACTGAACATAATTTAAGCGTAAGAAAAGATTTTCATAATAAAATATTTTATGAACGGAGTGTACTAAATGAATCACACAGAAACTATTTTACTACGGTAAAATTACGATGAAATTAATAAGTCGGTAATCAATCGGTTTATCAAAATAAAATCTTATCCATAATGGAGAATCAATCGGTTGTTTAAAAATAAGAACATTATTTAAGTTATGCAATTGGTGCAATAATGTATTAGTTACCTCTTTCTTGCGTAATCGGCTTAGACATGCTGCTTGGCGATTTTTAATCATTCTTTCCTGCTTCTTACGTATTCGTTCCAGGTTCGCATGACTGATAATACATTCGTTTGGTCCTAAAAAATCCTGCATATCAAGAAGCGATGTCGGTGATAGCTGAGAACGGCTTCCCAATGACGAATTGGAATAAGGTGTACAATTAACATTTCGCTAGAAAAAAGTATTGGCAAAAACAATTTTTGTGAATAAAAATATGTAACATATGTGAAAAAAATTATCATAATCAGCATTATTGTATAAAAAACTAATACAATACCGGCAAATTAGCAATAAAAATGAGCCGAAAGGTGATAATAAGAAATTAAGAACAGCCAATGGTCCCCTGGAACATACTGTAAGAAAATTGTATCAATGAGCAACCAAATGAATGACTTTCCTTGCATTGGGTGAGACTTGAATTCGAAATATAAGAACTTGGGGTTGGGCCCTCATAATAACTAGTTGAAATTTAACTCACTGATTAGTCATACAATTATCATTTCAAGCATCAGTAAAAGCGACCGACTTTTATACAGAAATTCTACACAGTTACATGCTAAATCAAACTAGCTCTGGCAAAATCATGATCACGGAACGAGTTTTAGCAGTAAACATACAGGAAATCCGTTAGAGTAAATTTAATCTACATTTATGGAACTAGTTGGCTTTGACTTAAGGATGTTTGGAAAAAAGCCACTATATTCAACTCCCACGGTCTAGGTAATAGATCGTAATCAGCAGCATTACACGATTTCGAGAAGTTGGTACTGCTTATGCCAGCAAAGCTGTCTGATTCAGAAGTTTCAGCTTTAACCAGGCACTGATTTCAATTTGTTAGCTAAATAAAGTGGAACATCACAAAAATATTTTTAGTTGTAATTTGGCGTCATGTAAATGATGTACCACCTGTGATTTTGTACTTTTGCTAGTGACCTAGTAAAGCATTTAGATAGTACAGTCCTAAGTCTTTAAACTACGATTGGCGACTTATTATAAGTGCTATGATAAGTATTACGTATAACCTAAATGACAGAATCACATTGTTGTATATTCAACCAATATTTCTTATTATATTAAGCAGAATGCTGAAAGGAGTATCTTATACAACTATTTTAATAGGTGCCACTAGAGAGTTCAGCATCGATCAATTGATAAACCGAGGTTACACGTAAAAAGAATTATCTTCCTACCAAGGACATCTAAAGAGTCATTGTGATCAACAGGTTTAGAGTGTTAACACCCATTTTAATTACGTTACAAAGTCAAACCACTCTCAATTTTTAGAAGTATACGTTTACACCTACTACATATGAATAAATCTTTTTCTTGAAACTTTCAATTACGGTGCAGCATGTACATAATGGAAACATAACAAGATAAAGTGAAACATTTTCAGCGTCTTAATCAGCAGTGCATCCACTGCTTAGTATATGTATCACCTCGCATAATATTCTATAACTAGCAAAATCAAGAATTCCATATAACGTTGTTTGACTCCTATCTACTACTTAAAGACACGATGCGTTACTAGACGACAGGCATGTCAAGTCCAACTGCATTCTGGATACCGGGCCTTTTAATTTACACAACATATCTTAAACTGATTTCGGGGGTTGGTGGATATATACAGCCCAAATACTCTGTGTCCTTCTAACTGCTTCTGTGATAACTGTTAGGTTAGATGATACGGTCTCCCAATAAATCGTCTCATTCACTAACATCAGATAACACTCATATGATATGATATGAAAGTGAACAATAATGGAATCATTCAAGAGAAATACAATTAAATAACTGGAATGAGTTTTCAAAACTAGGCTATGAACCATAATTGATGTGAAGGCTTGTTAATTTTTCTGGTAGCCTAAACCCATCACTCACTCTTTTATAGTCGAGTATATAAGTAAATTATAACCTAGGAATTAAGCAGTTGACAAAACAATAACTTACTAAATGCTCTTGCAGTGAAGGATCTGAAGAGGCTGGATTTCCACAGTATTCATAGACCTCAGCAACCTCGTTTGTTCCAGAAAACAATTCATCTAAAGCTTGTAAGAAAAAATCACCGAATTATTATAGTTAATTCAGTTCTCATATTCCGCCAAAATTACAGTTAAATAAAAAGTAGTCTTGGGATCTTTTTAAAGGGAAAACTCAGTGATAAGGTAAAGTTATCAGGTGAATGGTTGAAAGTAGAGTAATTAAGCCAATGAGCTACGTTCCCAGCAATAAATCAGATGAGATTTTATTCCTAAACAGTCTGGTAAAACTACCTACAATGTGAATGTTGGAATATAGATTCTTTATTCTGCGTTGATGAAATTCTCAACAAATTAAAAACCTTGGCTGTTAAAAACCTGCAGTCGAAAAAAATGTAACAAAAACAGCTTCCTAGGAAAGAAGAAAGAGTAAAATGCGCATAAGCAAATTACTAGTAAACCTGGCCAACTATGTAGTCAGTCTGACATAGATATTTATACAAAAAGGACACAAACGCAGTCAAACTATTGTCATAGCTTCTTCATAATCAAAATCTTGGATCGCTCACCAACACTTAACTGCAATAACATGGTCTAAATATACATAGTGAAAAATTACTGTTGTAGTGACTTGCCACCAACTGCCAGTAAGCTGTGAGTATCAAAATTTGTTCAAGTTTAGCTGACTGCACGCGAACCTAAAATTTATATTAGTCTCTTGGCTGTCAATAGGAAAACGTACACAGTACACTAAGTAATGATCACCACTAGAATCCGGTATCATGGCCGAAAAAATAGTTAAGTATTTTTTTCCAGCCGACAAAGGAAATATCAAAATGTAATAAACTACAAAGCTATGGAAGTAGATGAGACTGAAAGCACTCCAAAACTTTTCTGTTAGTTTTTTTTTTATTTCTGAAGCATGGTTACATTGAATAACTTATGACGATCATATGGAAGGATTACATGTCAGTGGAACTAACTGAACATCAATTAATAATACGAATTTACACTTATGGGACGGAATTGTAGAGGCAGCAAATATAATGACGGTCAAGCGGCTAGAGAGAACTTGGTGAGTAAAAATTATATATATATATAATATATATATATATATATATATATATATATATATAGGGGAAATTATGAAGTTAGAATGCTAGCAAAGTGAAAACTAGGTGGGTACCACAAAACAAATAGGGTAAGGGAGAAACATGCAGTAACTTCATTCATCTAACCTTAAACAACAAGAATACATAAATGGGAAGTCATCCCGAAAGACAAAGCAAATGAAAAGTTATAAGCAGCTATTTGAGTACATATATTAACGCCCAAAGAACTCAGATTTAATCTCCATCCGGATTCACAGAACCCGAACCAATATAAAACCCGTAACCCATGCAGGACCGACAGAATAAATAAAATAAATAAAAAATTCAGTGTTGTGATTTACCAAAATAAAATCTTATCCATAACGGAATCTGAATAATAATTACGAAATTAATTTCTCCAAGTCAAAGCATCAACATTATTTATAACTCACAACGACATTCCGAATCCAATTTAACAGGAGAGCTTGTAGATGAACCCGAAGAAACGTTTGGAAACCGTGTGAACGAGGTAATATTACCTGCTGATAACTTTACTGGAGTACTGGAGAGCTTCAGAGAACCACGAAATGCACCAGTCATAGGCACACTACCACCACCGTTTAAATTTAGCCTCTGCAAATAAAACAGCTTTAAAATGAGGAATTACCAAGGGTGGGTTGCACGGCAGATTTTTACCACCAACAGTGCTGACAGTCACTTGTTTAAATTTGGGTGGTGAAACATTGGGGCTTGAAGTCTGTATTAATCCACCTCCAGGAGTTCCCTTGGTATTTATTAGCATTTCGTAACCCGAAGATCCATTATTAGTCTGTAAGATACTATGTGTAATTTCTGCTGCAGATCCAACAACATCAGTAAGAACATAGTCGGAAACAGCATAATTACGCTGCCCATTGTCCTCCAACTGTTGCAATTGTTTCTCTCCAGCAACTAATCAGGCATAAAATCAAGATAAAATATGAACATACCGCTTATACCGCTATCACTATCTGAGTTTTCGAGAAGCTCAGATGCTTTAGAAGCGAAATCAAGTTCCCCCACATCGATATCATCAAACTAAGAGAGAACAATTAACCAAACCTCAATTATTACCAAGTCGACAGATTGCAGGAACTCATCCATGGCATCCTCTAGGCCTACTAGTGGAAACTTAATGCAATAATATGATTTACTTACACAAACTTTCGCAAGTCATGTTGAATCCAACGTCTGGCACCAACCTTGGCGCCTTAATAATTCAACCTAGAGAGAGCCTACAAGTTCGATGCATACAAAGACCTGTGGTTACCAGACTGCTTAGGTTGACTGAATTATCGGTAATTCATCCCACAGGATCATGACAACAAGATTCAACTCAAAAGGAAAGAAGCTCACAATTACCTAATGCTACACACAGCGTTACAAACAACGAGGGAAAAGAGAATAAACGATATTTCTATTGACAACTGCAAAATGTAATACACAACATCCCAGATAGAGACATCAAAATCCTAATAAGCAATGTGATTACCGAACCGGGAGCGAATAATACAGGAAGAAAAATCATCATGGTTCGAGAAGCTGTATGAGAAGTGAGTGACAACGCAGAAGTATTCGCAGATATCTGAGTCGCCGACAACTTGCAGAAAAGAAGCAGCGTGCATCAGCACACAAACACCAATAAAAACGATAAGTCGCCTATTCCTTGACAGAACAAAAAATGCACTGGATGCAGGACTCCACTCGGAACAAGCTGGATTCAGGAAAGGTGAATTGTGTGCTGATCAAATTGCAACTACACACATCATCATCGAACAGAGCATTGAACGGCAGTCACATCTCTACCTCAATTTCATAGACTTCGAAAATGCCTTCGGTGGCGCAGCGTTAGCCTCAAAGTAATTTGCAAACTCTCTCAACACTATGGAGTCCCCCAAATCTTTATCAACTTCATCCAACAGCTATATGACAATGCCATGTGTCAGGTGATCCACAACGGAAAGCTCAGCGAGCCGTTCGAAGTGAATACAGGAGTAAGACAAGACTAGCTGTCTATTATCACCAGTGATACTCATAACTGTGATGGACCGGATTATGCGTTAGACTATGGGTAATGGGAAAACAGGAATACTTTGGACCACCGATAAGAAGACTCTAGAAGATCTGGATTTCGTCAATGATGTATTCTCAATGTCATGGAGACTCGAAGACTTGCAGGCAAAAACCAACAAACTGGCTGAAGAGGCAGACAGCGAAGACAGGACTCCGGGTGAACATAAAGAAGATGGAGGTGATGAAGACAACCAACAAACAGCAGCAGCAACAACAACAACCAGCTCCAATCACCATCAACGGGAGAGATTTGACGGAGGTTACTTATTTCACTTACCTAGGAAGCATTGTTTCAACCATAGGCAGGTGGAACGGATGGAGATGTCAAAGCCAGCCAGAATCGGAAAGGCAAGATTCACCTTTATCAACCTGAAATCACTTTGGAAATCTTCTGCGCTCCACGGCACAAGCAACAAGATTCGCATTTCCAACACGAATGTGAAGTCAGTCAGTGCTTCTATACGGGTTAGAAACCTGGTGGGTGCGTCACGAAAGGATTTCCGATAAGTTGAGAACTTTCATCAACAGCTGCCTTCGCTCCATATTGGATATCAAATGGCCAGAAAGGACTAGCAGCAAGAAACTATGGGACAAACTAACCAAGAACCTATCACTCAGCAAATTTGGAGGAGAAAATGGAGATGGATCAGCAACTCGTTGGGGAGAACGTCAAGTGAAATCACGCACAATGCAGGCCATTGCTCGAGTGGAACCCGAATGAGAAACGTCGAGTGGGTCGTCGGTGGGAGGATGACATAGGAGAGATCGGGTGAGTTTGAGGAAATGGTAGATTATGGACAATCGTTGGGTTAGCTAAAGAGGACGGCAGAAAATACGGCAGAGTGGAGATGTGTGGTTGAATTCCTGTCTTCCTCTCAAGACCCAAAGGAATTACAACATCGATGGAAAAAGTAAACTTTTCGTCAGGATCCTTATTGCCCTACTTTTCTTGTCTTTGCTCTGGAAACGATGGTTTGGACAGAATACCATTTTCAGAATAAGACCGAGTGTCTTTTCTGACAGCACAAGCTAGCAACATTCTGTCAACTTTAGAAAAATGAAATTATCTGTTTGCAGCAGAAAATAAATATTCTATTCATAGAGGGGACACTCGACATCAGTTTTCATTGGTGGAGATTACTAACGTATATGCATGCGATTAGTTATGATGCGCGAAATATAACGACATTTATATTCTATATTGACCTTACGGAGCCTATTATATTTTCAGAATCTTTACAGCACTTCTATACAGTTTGGTGTGGCTCACAGCTACTGTGAAGTCCCTGACTGTAAGCAAAAAAAGCCGTGAAATGGTTGATTCAAATGTAAACAGTATCAAATTTTGGTTTAATGGGAAGAGAAAAAAATTTGAAACTGCACTTCATGGAAGGTCACTGTTCATCACTTTCTGTGATGACGATGCCCATTTCATACTGCCTTCGGCTTGCTCTTCACAAGTTCTGAATTGAGTCTGTTTCTAATTTACCAGTTCTGGAATCACCTGATTTTATCAAAATATCTAAGTGGGAAATACTATCGGAAGTATCGATAAAACCGATAAATATATCATCGGACAGAATATTAACACCATTTGCACAGGCCTAATTTTCCTCGCCATTAGAAATCTTTTCGAATGGGGATAAACTGCTACAAAATCATGCGCCTATCATCCTCAGCACAACATGCAGAATAATAACAAAATGCATGATTTTTCTGCAGCCCAACAACAACGCTTTCCACTCCAGTTGAATGGCAACTTTTTAGCGAAAGTCTCAGTTTGATGATGAGGATATAATTATGACATCCTTCCAGCCTCTTAATAATAAATAATATGTATATATCACATGGATAGATTTACATGACAAGAATACGGAATTAGACTGGCTCGTTGACTTGTTGAAAAGCGTGTTTCTTAGCCTCGACCGATACCGATAATAGGCGAGGGTGAACTTCACCATACCATCACATTTACAGGGACTGTGCTTCAGAATAATGAGTGGGTGGCTCCCTTCCTAATCTGCTAAACGTCTTATCTCCTCAGACTGTTCCTTACTGAAGCAACAAGAAACCTTTAATCCTAGTTAACTCATCATCATCCGCTACTGAGCACTAATCAAGTGGAAGGGAACGGGTAGAATCGGTTTCCTTAACCCTCTTGTTATGTGTGAAAAGCCTCTTGGGACAGTCCTGTGGGCTGCTAAATGGCCGTGCTTCATAAGCCTTCCAAGAATGGTGAATCAAATAGAACAAGCATGAGGTTGAGCATGGATCACAAGTTTCAGCGACAAATAATAACAATCCTTTACCTCATTTATTTAAGATAGAATTAAAATATATTACCATTCACATCAGCCATGTCATATGTCGGTTGCGGGTTAAGCAGGGAACAGAATAGGAGAGTGCCCGAAGCGCCTGTTATCTACCAAAATAATCTCATCAACAGTGAGTGGTGGTACGCTTTCCAAATTATTAATTCATCCGCGAGAGGGAAAACCAGTCTGCGAAGGGCCATTACCTTAATGTCAGACAGTTGTTGCATCTACTCTACTGCCCAATATTTCTATCATAGTGAAAATTAGGAGTTCGTTATTAAACTCCAACTAGGCAAAAGTAAACGAGTCTACACAACTATGCCCTCACTTTCGCAACAAGTGAATCTATTGCCTCGTTGGAAACTTGACTCCAATAATTGGTGTGTTTAGTATTTCACACTCAAACCGTGTCGCATTAATAATCACGTTTTCTGGACTCTGCTTATTCACTGCAGCTGTAATTTATAAGGTTTGCTTCTAGTGCTACGTATACTAGTGTATAATGTCTTAAGGTATTTTTAGCTTACTTATGAATGACTTGGATACAGATGTTTCCAACGCCTGCCTACCTTGGAGCCAACAAGTTTCGGATTAGTCCCCAGGGTTTTACGTCGAACTTCTGATTGAGTGTGTTCCTATATCCTTTATTCCGTCTTACAAAACTAATCTAATCTGAGAAATAAAGTCGTTCCATCAGAGCTCCAGACAGAACCAGTAATTTTTGAAGTTGCTTCTCAGGTTATTTTAAAGACTGTTGGCCCGGAATTAGAGTCTAGTGGAACCACTGCAGCTCTGGTTCCCAGAGTGTCACTTTCAGTCTATTCGTCAAGGCTTCAATTTGCATCAGTGCAGACTTGGATCCTTGGCCAAATTTATGGATTTCAGCCCATGAGTCACTGACTCTAACTGCATTCCGTCTACTTCAGCTTGGGTATTTGGGCAGTATCATCAATTCTCTAGCGGTAAGTGTTCCTCATGGCCTGGTATGTAAGAAACCTAATTCAGGTATCCAAGAACAGGTAGCCTACATCAACATTCTGGATCAACTGATAACTAGGGAGTTTCTTCTTCTAACAGCATTGCATAGGCAGTGTGTTCTTCACACGCTGAGTGATTTCAGCTTCTAGTACCGATTGACTGGTGTATTAAATAGGACCCACACCTTGCACAACGTACTATGTGAGTTCTGTGACGAATAAACAATGGAATCAGCTACACTAATAGGGTGAAATTACCTGGGTAAATACAAAACTGAAGCACATGTAAATAAAAAGAAACTTAAAATGTAGACAAAACTTAAACTCTAAATTAAATGAAGTCAAAATGCTGGGAAATATTTCCAACGTCGTAAACGGAGTTGACGAACTTCTTCGATCCCCTACATTACTCCCCGAAAAGGATCAACTTCAGTTGGTCCGACGCAGTGACAGAAGTTCCTCAGCATTGGCGGATCTTGTTGAACGTGTAGCATCCGTTGTTTATTGTGAATTTGAATCAGAAAGCAGAAGAACGGCAGAAACTAGCATAGGGAAAGAGGTTAATCCTGGTAGGAAGATAGAAGCATTATTAGTGTGACAAAGTAAACGATCATCTCAGGGTTCGATAGAAGTACTCTGGTACTCTCGGGTATAATTTCGTGACATCTTAGCGTGCAAAAGATCCTTGAGATGAAACGTGATTAACAGTACATGTATGCATCTACAATCAGTGAAAACATTACTTTTTAGAAAGTATGTGAACATGAGTGTCTCCAGCAGGAATTTAATTCCTAACTCATATTCTCAGGGAG